AGAGAGAGAGAGAGAGAGAGAGAGACGATAACTCTCCGACCTCGGGGCTGAGCAAAACGGGAATGAATCGTTCGTTCGTTCGTGTGTGTGTGTGTGTGTGTGTGTGTGTGTGAGAGAGAGAGAGAGAGAGAGACCTCGCTGCTCGCGCCATGCTACTTCCATCGATAGGATGAGCAACATCCAATGAATCTTCGGCTAGAACATGGAAATATACATACCTGGTTGAATATGGCTGACCGCGTAACCAACCACGAAAACAGCGCGCGCCGCGCCAACCCAAAAAACAAAACGGCCGCCCGCAGGCAACCCGACTCGAGCCCCCCAACACCAACCCAAAAACAAAGCGGCCCAACCCGACTCGACCCCCCGGCCTCACCGAACCGGCACGCAGTCCGCCCGTGGGCCTACCACGAGTCCCACACCAGGGAACCGGGTCTCGCACGGGACCGTCACGCGAGACCCGCGTTTTCCTTTATATGTATAGAGAAGAAGAAAAGGAAAATGAAGCAGGCCTTCTCCTTCGAACTCCATGTATATGCACCCCCGCCGCCCCCCCCCCAAGACATCCTACCAATGCCACATATAAACATAACGCCTCAGCGTACTATTCGTATAACGCCCCGGCATTGTACTCGAAAGAAAAAAGAAGTGAGAACATATATAATATATATAACTCTCTCAGGGTAAGTTGAATCTAATGGCCGGGTGCTATTTTCAGGTTAAGCTGGTGGCCGTCGAGATTACACTCTGACAGCAGCTGGCAGCAAAAGTTTTACGGCAGCAGCAGCCACCGCCCGACACCAGCCTCGCCAGTGACCACCTGCCATATGATTACGAAGTGAGGACATGTGCGCGGACACAGTGGTGGATTGACCTGACGTCATAAAAAGAGCATGCTGCAACAAGAGCCAGACTCTACTGCATCCAATTCTGTCTGCGCCAATAGGAAAACCACAGGACAGGTAGACAAAATGGTACTCAACCCATAACCACTGGTGTCCCTACGAAATCAGATGGACATATGTAGGTAGGTAGGTAGAGTGAGGTATCCGAGTGATGCCAGCCCAAGAGGGCTAGCTCAGTTGGTTGAGCACGCAAGTGGTATTCAGGAGGTCGTGGGTTCGATCCCCCACGTCATCCATTCGA